TATTTTTTATTTTCATATAAGAGATACATTTGAAATATATTTTAAAGTTAAGATAACTTGACACAATAAAAGAGTAAATCATTTAGCAAAATGAGGTACAGACCTAAACAGAAAGCTCTCAGCAGATGAATTGCAAAAGGCTGAGAGATACATAAGGAAATGCTCATCATGCGTAGCTATCAGAGAAATGCACATAAAAACAGCTCTGAGATTCGATCTACACATGTCTGGATGGCCAAGAACAAAAGCACAGATGATGGCTTAAGCTGTAGAGGATATGGCGTAAGGGCTACACTCCTCTATTGGTGGTCTTCTAAACTTGTGCAGCTGCTTTGGAAATCAGTATGGTGATTTCTCACAAAAAATAGGAAACAAATTACCCCAAGACCCAACAATACTGCTGTTGGGTATATACCGTAATGACATTCAATCATACCACAAAAACATGTGCTCAACTATGTTCATAGCAGCATTATTTGTAATAGCCAGAACCTGGCAACAACCTATGGTGTGGGAAGTAATTTTGTATATGTGTTGCTTTTATTACTTAATGAATAAAGAAGCTGTTTTGGCCAGTGGCTTAACAAAATATAGCTAGGTAGGAAAACTCAACTAAATGCTGTGAGAAAGAAGGTGGAGTCAGAAAGACACCATAGAGCCACCAGAGGAAAAAGATGCAAGCTACCAGCCACAACTTTGCCAGTAGGCCACAAGCCTCATGGTAAAATATAAAATAATAAAAACAGGTTAATTTAAGAGATAAGAATGAGCTAAAAATACACTTAAGCTATTGGCCAAAAAGTATTGCAAATAATATCACTTCTCGGTGTTTATTTTGGCACTGAGCATCTGGGAACCAATGAAATGCCTCCAACAACAAACCCAGATGCTCCTCAACTAAAGAATGGATAAAGAAAATGTGGTACAGTTTTACAATGGAGTACTACACAAAGATAAAAAATAATGACATCTTGAAATTTGTAGGCAATTGATGTATCTAGAAAAACAACATATTGAGTGAGGTAACCCAGACCAGAAAAACAAATATAATTTGTACTTAGTCATAAGTGTCTTTTAATCATAAAGTAAAGAAAATCCAGCCTAGAAGCTACAATACCAGAGAAACTCAACAGAAGACCCTAAGAAAGACATACATGGTTACACACACACACACACACACACACACACACATATATGTATATATGATGGTGAAGAAGACATGATTTCTGACTAAATCAGCAGTGTGGGGGTCAAATGAAAAGGTAGAAGAAGAGGGGGGAAGGGAGTGGAGTGGAGAAAAATGTAAAGCTCATTAAAAACCATAGTAACAAAAATATAATCCAAAGTACTTGAATTGGTTCATTATACAGTGCTGTTTATAATCCCATGTCTTCTACCAGCTGCCTCTTGCCCATCAGTCATCAAAAAGTTCAAAATCAATGCAATACTATTCAGAATCCTGACTCCCTGGATATTTCTCATCTTTACATGCTTTTTTTAAAAAAAAATTTCTATCAGTGTTGCTGTCTTTTTAAAAGACTTTACTATTTTCTAAATCTATTTCTTTCTATAAATGCCTATACCTATTTTCTTTCCTTAAGACTGCAAATTATAAAATACATTGGAAACTTTTTTACAGATTTTTTCAATCTGAACCTGTTTAACTGAATATCATTTAGCTTTTTTTTTTTTTTTTTTACAACAAAAGTCTTTAAACTGCTATACATCCTTTACTTCCCCTGTTAACTTTGGCTGCAGGCTCCTGCTTCTCTGTTCACGAAAACCAAGCACTAAGCTTGCAGCCAGGTAGAAATTGTGTTTCAGGAATTACATTTTACCTTCATATCACTAGGAATCTGATTTTTGTTCTTCTGTAGCTATTTACTTATTTATTTATTCATTTATTCATTCATTCATTTATTTATTTGGTTAGAATTTTTATGTACCAACTGCTCAAGGACTTCTGTAATGCAGAAACTCTTAAAGGAAACATGAATTTTGATTCCCACATTGGGCACCAAAATGTATTCAGTTGATTCTGTCTTTCTGGGAACAAGACACCCAGCTTCCAAATAAACCACAGAGCTTTATTATTATTTAAAAATCTTTCGCCTTAATGTCTCTTGTTTCTAGCCATTTTTTTTTAACATAAGTTATTCCATCTACCTTTTGCAACTAGCTTTTTGTCTTTTTCTATTCTCTACACCTTTCTTTACTTCTTACTCTCTATCTTGTTGTATAGCTAGATGTCTGGCCCCTGGTGTCCCATCTTTTTCTTGTTCCTCCTTCCTTTTTTTCTCCCAGATTTCTCCTCACTTTTATTCTCTCGGCCTTCCAGACTTTCATATCTTTTCCTGATAAGCTATTGGCTGTTCATCTCTTTGTTATCAAAATCAGGTGCTTAAGACAGGCAAAGCATTGGAGCTTCACCAGAGTTAAAAATGCAACAAAAAGGAATGCAACAGATCTTTGCATCATTGAATTATCTAAAGCATGATAAGCTATTGGCTGTTCATCTCTTTGTTAGCAAAATCTGATGCTTATGACAGGCAAAGCACTGGAGCTTCACCAGAGGTAAAAAATGAAACATAAAGGAATGCAACAGATCTTTGCATCATTGAAAGAAATTATCTACAGCATAAGTAAATATAACACATTTTAAAATAATAAATTTTGCAATAGCCTACCTGAGTTGCATTTTGAGACCACATTATGTTGAGATACCTAAGCAATGAGACATCTTTCATGGAGAGCAAGCTATCTACAGAGATTGAAGGTAATCCAAGAGAGAGATGTATGAGAAGTTACATGGATAGGGCTATCTCAGTCCTTTGAAATTGAAGTTGCATGCATCTGAGATAGAGCTTCAGGATTTGATGTTTGTTCTGTGGTGCTTCAGTCTTGCCTTGGTCCAATCTTCCCTCACTATATTTCCATTTTTTCTCTTTTGGAATGTGAATGGTACTCTGCCATTGTATGTTAGAAAGATGTAACACATTTTTTTCTTTTAGAAGATGTCACTATCAAGCGATTGTCTTTAGTTTCACAAAAGACTTTGGGCATTTAAACTTTGTAGGGGCTTTTGCCAACTATAAAGATCATTGAAGTGACTAAAGCATATTCTTCATGGATGACCTTGAGCCTTTAATAACTTGGGTCAAAATGTTGTTGATTAAATCAAAAACCTCCCCAAACAGGAAGATGAATTTGAGCATGTATCATTTTTCAGGGACTTTCTGCTGATTGCTTGTGAAATCATTAGTAGGAGGAGACTATCTGGATGAAATTCCTCATAGGGAATGTGATATGAGTCTCTATTGCCTCAATCTATTTCCTGTTCTTTGTGTACTGTGTTATGTTTGCTATTAATCAGTAAGCTTCTTTCATGTGCTGTCATGCCTTCACCACCATTACAGTAGTGTTACATAAAATTCAGTATAAATAATACAGAATAATGATATTCTGTGATAAGGCAGTTTAGTAACCTTCTGTTTGAATCTTCTTGTTTGTAATTTTTTGGAAACAATATTTATCCATGTAGCCCTAGCTGTACTGAAAAATAGTTCTGCACACCACTCTGGCCTCAGTCTCAGCTCCTCTGACTCTGTATCCCAAGTGCTGTGACTAAAGGTGGGCTAACATTCCTTTCTTTTGCTTTTATATTATTGATTGATGGTTTTGTCTCTGTCAAACATATGCTATTGTACTGAGATTCCCCCTTATCTTGAATGTAAAATTTGGAAGAAGGTATCATTTTGTTTCCCCAAATGACATGTATTTATGACAATAATGCCTTAGCCTTCTGATTCATTGGATTACAGGTGCATCACCTTATTTCTGCCTGTAATTGAAAATCAAAAAGAAAGTACTGACAATTGAGCCCACCTATATGCAAGATAGCGACTTCTCCTTAGTTTGTGCCCTCTCTCTTACCCTGTGTTGATTACTTGTGATAACATTTATATTGCTAAGGTTTTTAATGTCTCAATTTGTAACTTTTAAAATATACAGTGCCTTTTAGTAAAATTTTATTAATGTTAGAGTTTAAATTGGCACACTTCAGGGTTTTGGAAGATGAATACAAGCCTGGAGTGAATGCACAGTTCTGTATAGGAACTTCACCAAACACTTCTGTTTTTTTTTTTTTTCTATGATTTTTGTTTGTTCTTTTAGTGTTTTTTTTTTTTTTTGGCTGATTTATACATAGATAATAGGTTCTTAGTATGTAATTCTGACTGTCCTAGACATGATTGAATAGACTTGTCAGGCATTCAATTCAGAGGTCTCTGCCTTCTGAGTCCTGGAATTAGAGGCATGATCCAATGTACCCAGTTTACCCATTTTGTTGTTTGTTTTTGTAGGCACTTATTAATTGTTCATACAAATTTTTCCTACGTGTCCTCTGTACTGCTGATCTGTTTACCTGTCTCTCCATGTTTGTTTATAGGCATTTCTCTTGTAGGTGATATCCCATTCAAGGGGTAAAAAAATAATAATAGTGGTGAACCTCCTATTTAGCTTCTTTCAAAAGTTACTTGGTAACTAAATCATAATGTCTATGATATGGAATAATTGTGGGGAAATCCCAGAATTATGTGAGTATACTGTCAAAGAATTATACATTTATAATGTTGTCATCATGCTTTCTATTGTACATATGCACTGAAAATTTTAGAATGCAGTGACCTTTGATGATGTGCATATTGATTTCACTTGGGAAGAATGGACTTTGCTGCATCCTTTCCAGAAAAATCTCTACGAAGATGTTATGTTGGAGACCTACAGGAACCTCACTATTATAGGTAAGACTGAATTTTCTTTTATGTTTCAAATAAGGGGACAACAGTTCATTGGTTATTTATGTTCTCCAATTTGATAAAGAAAGAAGAGCAATGGGGTGAATAAATCAGGCATGGTTCTAAGTAAGGTTCAGAGAAGATAGCAACTAACATTTTGCATAATTTTGAATATTACATATATTTTCTGATACTATATTTTAGGTTACAGTTGGGAAGACCATAATATTGAAAAGCATTCTCCATGGTCTAGAAGATATGAAAGGTAATTTTCATGTGCAAGCTAATACAAATGTTCCTCTATAGAAACTGTGGTATGTAATGGAAGTTTTAAACAAAAACAACATAATAAAAAATGATACTTTATATGAGTGCATGAATGATAATTATATTGTCACAAAACCATGTACCTCAGTTTCAGCTGGATGAATTGCATTTGAAAGACACACTTTTAAGAAAGAAGCTAAGGAAACTGTCTTAACAGATATCACCAATTTAGTCATAGCATCATGAGATCTATGCTGTAAAATTGTCAATCAATTTCTTCCATTCCACTCATATTACAAAAATTATAAACACTGAAGTGGTGATAAGTATGTCTCCAAGACTTTCTAACATGCAAATTATCCATGTTGAAGGTTGTGTGATTTATATACTTGATGTGATTATGCTAAGTTTATTGAGGGTACAATTAGAGTCAAGAATGAAGGGGCAGTTATGGAGAAACCTTAATCTCTGTACCACAAGTCTATGATGACAGAGGATCAAACCATGTGACATTAATTTTTCCTTGACTAGGTATATCATATGTCATGCTGAATACAAGTCTTAATGAGCATAGGGATATGGAAAGACATATCATACTTCTCAGAATAATTAGAAGATATATAGCAGTCCCTATGTTAAGAATGCTTATGGAATATCAGTCAGGTATTCAAGTAATTGACTCAACATTAATACATCAAAAAATGCACATTACAGAAAATCCCCATGAGTAACAGACATAAGTAATACTTCCGTTTGTCCTAGCTCACTTATCAAATGTAGTCTCTTTAATAGTATAAAGAAATTGATAAATGCAATAAGGATATTAAAGATCTGAGCTTTTCCAATTCTCTTTAAATATGTGGAAAATTTTGTATAAAAATAATTATGTAAATGTGGCTCATGTAATAAAGGATTTTATTATCAAAGGTATCTTGAAAGTTGTAAAAAATCCTTAGTAAATGGAAACAGCATGAGTATAAACACAGTGATAAAACCTTAAGATCTAATTCCTTTTTAAATGTGGAACAAATTTAAAAATTATTTGATATAGTTATAAAGATTCAACAGTGTATTAAATGTGGTAACACTTTTTCATGTGCCATTTTTCTTGCAGGCATGAAAAAAGTCAAACTGGAGGGAAATCTTATGTATACCCTCAAAGTATTAAAGCCATTGCATATGACAGTCATCGTGAAAGGCAGAAAAGAACACATACTGAAGAGAAATCCTATGAATGTAATCAGTGTGGTAAAACCTTTGCACGTCACAGTCATCTTCAAATGCATAAAAGAACACATACTGGAGAAAAACCTTATGAATGTACTCAGTGTGGTAAAGCCTTTGCATGTATCAGTACTCTTCATAGACATATAAGAACCCATACTGGAGAGAAGCCCTATGAATGTAATCAGTGTGGTAAAGCCTTTTCCCGTAATAGTAATCTTGAAATACATAAAAGAATACATACTGGAGAGAAACCATTTGAATGTACTCAGTGTGGTAAAGTCTTTGTATGTTACAATAGTCTCCGAATACATGAAAGAATGCATACTGGAGAGAAACCCTATGAATGTGATCAGTGTGGTAAAACCTTTGCAAGGCACGGCCATCTTCAAATGCATAAAAGAACACATACTGGAGAAAAACCTTATGAATGTACTCAGTGTGGTAAAGCCTTTGCATATATCAGTACTTTTCATACCCATATAAGAACCCATACTGGAGAGAAACCCTACGAATGCAATCAGTGTGGTAAAGCGTTTGCCAGTCACCGAAATCTTGAAATACATAAAAGAATACATACTGGAGAGAAACCCTATGAATGTAATCAGTGTGGTAAAGCCTTTGTATGTTACAATAGTCTCCAAATACATGAAAGAACACATACTGGAGAGAAACCCTATGAATGTGATCAGTGTGGAAAAGCCTTTGCATGTCACAGTCATCTTCAAATTCATAAAAGAACACATACTGGAGAAAAACCGTATGAATGTGCTCAGTGTGGCAGAGCCTTTTCAGGTATCAGTACTCTCCATAGACATATAAGAACACATACTGGAGAGAAACCCTATGAATGTAATCAGTGTGGTAAAGCCTTTGCCCGTCACAGTAATCTTGAAATACATAAAAGAACCCATACTGGAGAGAAACCCTACGAATGTAATCAGTGTAGTAAAGCCTTTGTATATTACGGTAGTCTCCGAATACATAAAAGAATGCATACTGGAGAGAAACCCTATGAATGTATTCAGTGTGGCAAAGCCTTTACATGTAACAGTCATCTTCAAATGCATAAAAGAACACATACTGGAGAGAAACCCTATGAATGTACTCAGTGTGGTAAATGCTTTGCAAGTCAGAGTCATCTTCACATTCATGAAATAACACATACTGGAGAGAAACCCTATAAATGTACTCAGTGTGATAAAGCCTTTACATATCGCAGTGTTCTTCAAAGGCATAAAAAAACACATACTGGAGAGAAATCCTATCAATGTATTCAGTGTTATAAAGTCTTTGCATGTATCAGTACTCTACAAAGGCATATAAGAACACATACTTGATAGAAACCCTATGAATGTAATCAGTGTGGCAAAGCCTTTACCAGTCAGGATTATCTTCTCACTCATAAAAGAACACAAACTGTAGAAAAACCCTATGAATGCACTCAGTGTAGTAAATCCTTTGTATATAAGAATAATCTCTGAATACATGAAAGAACCACACTGGACAGAGAGAAAGAACCACACTGGACAGAGACCCTGTGTGTGTAATCAGTGTGGTAAAGCCTTTGTATGTAATCATTATCTTCAAATGCATAGATGAACAAATAAAGGAGAGAAACCCTATAAATGTAATCAGTATGGTAAAGCCTTTGCATGTCACAGTGATATTCAAAGACACAAAACACATACTTGAGAAAAATCCTTTGAAGGTAATTATTGTGGTAAAGTCTTTTGCAAGTCGCAGTCATCTTCAAAACCAAAAGAACACATACTGGAGAGAAACCCTATAAATGTAATTAATGTAATAAAGCCTTTGGATATTGCAGTGTTCTTCAAAGGCATAAAATAATACATACTTGAGAAAATCACTATGAATGTATTCAGTGTTGTAATGCCTTTTCATGTCACTGTCATTTTCAAATGCATAAAAGAACACATACTAGAAAGAAACCCTATGAATGAATGTAATCAGATGGTAAAGCCATGAATGTCATGGTCACTTTCTGATGCACAAAACAGCACATACTTGATAGAAACCCTATGAACATACTCAGTGTGGTAAAGTCTTTGGCATGCCACAACCATCTCCTTATATGGAGAGAAAACCTATAAATATAATCTGTGTGATAAAGGTTTGCAGTAGTAGTTATCAAATGCATAAAAGTACTCCTACTGGAGAAAAACCCTATGTATGTAATCAATAATGTAAAGTTTTTGCATGCCCCAGTCATCTTGAAATGCATAAAAGAACACATACCTTAGAGAAAGACATGAATGTAATCAGTGTAGTAAATCATTTGCATATCTCAATGGTCTTCAAAGGCATAAAAGAACACATGAGAGAAATTCTATGACTATATTTAGTGTGTTACTGCCTTTTATGTCACAATAGCTTTTGAATACATTAAAGAACCTGTATTGGCCAGAAACCCAATGAATGTACTCATTGTGGTCAAACCTTTGCCTGTCAAAAAGTCTATAAAAGAGTAAATGAACACATACTGGAGAACACATAATCTGAGGATTAGCATGTATTCACCCACTGAGAACTCCTTAATATTCTATTCATACTCTGTCTTGATGTAATTCATTATCAAGTCACAGTACAAACTGGAGAACACATACTCTGTGAATTACCACGTGTTCATGTCACTCACTGAGAATTTAATAGTTTACTCATACCCTGTTTTGATGTAATTCTATATCAAATTGCTATAGACACATGAAGGCTCCCTCTCAACTGCTTGTGAAGGCCCAAAATTAGAGCCTGTTTTTATCCTAACAGATATTCAGAATATCTAAATGTACTTTCAACCTCTCTCTCTCTCTCTCTCTCTCTCTCTCTCTCTCTCTCTCTCTCTCTCTCTCTCTCTCTCTCTCTCTCTCTCTGTAATATGAGGTTACCTGCCAAGTGGTTGCCTTTGGGATATTTGAGCTAGAGTGGTTTTAGTACCTAAACAACATAATGCTAATGCCTTGATGCCTCAAAGTGTTAAAACAATTGACTTTTCAAGTTGTCCTTTGTATCATGTTAAAGAAGTTGTTTTTTTTTTTTTTTACATTCTTCTTGCTTTTGTATTGGGGTATAGTAGTTTATGGAAAATTAAACATGGACAATTTCAATATTCATTGGAATGCTCTCCCAGTATTTTTTTGTTATTAAAAATATGAAATTTTTTACTAATATATCTAAATCCCCGTGCCTGTACCCTAGTAAGGTGTTTTTATTTAGGCCAGTTCCCAACATATGGTGCCCAACGTAGGATGGTCACTAACATATAGTGTGCCACAATGTGGGGCTAACCAGTGAACCCTGAAATAAACATAAGTGTGGCCAGGTGTACAAGATAATATGTGAGGGAACCCACAAGAATACTCTGTACCAGATCCACAGCCACTGATTTTGAAGGGTCTTTATCTCCCAAGTGGTGCGTGGGAGGTTTCTCTTGCTTCTGCTGATACCAAGCTAATAAACACTCAGTTTCCTCACTAGTCTGTCAAGTTTTCATCATGTTTTCCCAGAAATACAAAGAGAAAAGATGGAGTCTGGTTTGTCTTTACATCACATGTGACAGACACCTGGCATTAAAAATAGAAAACAAATACTTAACAAATCACTAACATTCCTAACCTACTCATTTTTTTTTTTTTTACAAGCTCAATAGCACTAACCATAGCTAAGCAAATACACACAGATGTTATTCCTTATCTGGGAGCCAGCACAACAGCAATCTCATGGTTGGGAAAACACATGGCCATGCTGTGTCCTGATGACAAATGACTCCTTTAAAGGTATGGTCAGTCAATGGAGAAGACCTCAAGACAGGATATGGTAATCTGTGGTAGCTGGGCACAGTTACTGAACTGACACATTTCTCTAAGGACTCAGCAAGGGTCAGGGTCCCAAGGTGCCTCCTGCCTGAATGAGGTTGTATTTTTCTACAAAGAATATACAAGTTTCTTGAAGCCAAAAGGAAAGAGCATTGGTATGTTGTAATATTTTTTTTTAATATTTCAAGATTTATTTTATGTGTTCCTTGACATTACCTAGGAATATGTGTGTTGCACAATCTTAGAAGTATAAATAGGTTATGGGCACATTTTCTTTACCCAATTCAGTCCTATTCATCACTGATACCTTTTTTCAAACTGGATGTATAAACATGGCTGTTGAGGCCATTAGTGGGCTCATATATGTATACTTAATTGCTCACTACTTTGCACTGGAGAATAAATTATGGGGTTCATCTCTAGAAAAAAACTACTTTTCTCACCCTGGGCAGTTAAAAATTACTGATAGCTCTTCACCTAGTGTCAGGGTTCTACAAGAGCTCCACCATCCCAATTGGTATATCTTTTTTTTTTTTTTTTTGTCATTCAGGTCTTCTTAAGCCATATTGTTGAATTTTTATGATCGTAGTTCTTTCATTTTTATAAGACACACTCTCAGAGAAGACATCCTGGTTTCATTGCTCTTCCACACACTCTTCTGAATTGTTCTCTGAGCCTGAGGTGTGAAACTGGTGTTACAGGTATAAAGGGTTTAACTTTTTTCTTCTATCAATTGATATTTTAATTGTTACACCAATATATAATTGATCCATTTTGACATAATTTTTATATCAAGTGAGAGATCAAGATGAGTTGCCTAATTGTTTGTTGGATATCTAGTTTTGATATTTGTAAATGAGTCTGTATTTTCTCTGACATATTTTTGTGAACTTTGTATAAAAGGATTGAGCTGTAACCTTTTGAATAAATGTCTATGTCCTCTATTGAGGAGGCTGCTTGTTT